AAGCTCTCTGATGGTTCTGGAATTTTCTGAGACCATGCTCCTCCTCAGAAGATTGAAGGAGGCCCTAGATTTTCCATGACATGGGACTAAAGAGATGTCAGCCTGACTCCAGCAGGAGTCTTACTCCAAGACAGGAGAGTGCAGTGAGTAAACAGGGGCTTCCAACATTGGCTGGATGTTAGAATTGCAGGAGGGGCTATTGATGGAAATTTCTGTGCTCTGGTTGTACCCGGACCAATGAAATCAGAATCTCTGGATGTAGAATCCAGGCCTCCATGCTCTCCAGGTGATTCTGATGTGCAGTCAAGGTTTAGAACGCTGGGCTAAGATCTTGGGCTTTGGAGATAGACTACCTAGGTCCAAACCAACTTTTAATGCCACTTCTAAACTCTGTGACCTCGGACAAGTCACTTACTGATTTGTGCCTGTTTTCTCATTCAAAAAAATAATTTTAGACCACCGTGGTCAGGATTAAAATATAGTATAGAAAGGGTGCTTTGCACTATGGCTGGGATGCAATCTAAACTGGGTAAATACGATGTGTGACCATGACAATATTTCTGCATAATAACAAACACGTGTAATGGATAGAGGCCAATATAACACAGAGGTTAAGGGTGTATGCCGTTCCCCTGCCAGGCAGGGCTGGGGTTAGAGTGAGGAGAAGTAAGCTCCTACAGCGCAAAATGGAAGGAGATGCCCATTCTCAGGGTCTTGCAAATGCATGCTGGCTGGGTCCAAATCTTGGCTCTGTGCAGTAATAGTTGTGTGGTTGTGAACTTTGCTGTCTCAACTGTGAAATGAAGCCTCCCCAAGAGTGTGATGAGGATAAGAGTTACAGAAACCTCATTGGGTAGGTGTGAGGCTTAAATCAAAATAATACATACGAGGAAGTTAGCAGAAAACCTCATACACATGGTAAGAGGTTAGTTATTAATGTGATGGTGAGGAAGACAGGTTTCTTACAGCAGATGCTTGCGTTCAGCAACAGCAGTGGTTCAGATCCTCCGGGAGGGCTGGAGAGGTATTTGAGAATTTGATGACGACTACAGACCCTCTCCAAGAAAAATTCTAAAACACACAATTTTTACACATGCATGTTAGAAGTCCATGGGAATCATGGATGAAGACAGGTGGATGCAGGTACAGGACCCTTAGCAAATTCTCTGCAGTGAACCATTGAGGGTATTTCCTGGATCCTGAGAACACTGACTCCCTGAGCCCCAGGAGGCAGTTGACTTTCCAGAGGTCACTTTCAACCAAACTAAATCCCCTTGGGCCTGCTGCACCAAGATGGCAGGGAAAGAGATGGTCCCAGGATAACCCCCATCTCCAGATAATCAGGACTCTTTCCCAGGTTCTGGGCTTGGGGAATCCACAGGACTGAAAGAGAGGAGCACTAAAGTTTTGTTGTTTGTGAATATGGTTTTTGTTTTTTCCACACTTTTTTGCACTGACCACATATGTCTATTTAAAGGTAAATAAATTAAAATTAAATTAGAAATACGGCTCATCAGTCACACTAGCCACATTTCAACTGTTTGGTAACTGCCTGTGGCAAGTGGGTACTGTGGTGGATTGCACAGATATAGACCATTTCTATCATGGAGGGAAGTTTTATTGGGAAATCTTGCACTAGGCCAGGACTCAGCACACCATGGCCCTCAGGCCAAATCTGAGCTGTGGACTGGTTAGCTATGACCTGTGAGCTAAGAATGGTTTTATTTTTTAGAGGTAAAATAAAACAAGGAACATGCAACAGAAACATATGTAGCCCACAAATTCTGCGATATTTACTCTATGATCTTAAGCAGAAAAGTTTGGGGACCTCTGCTCTAGACTGTGAGTGCCCTGAGGGTGGAGTTCAGGTGGAATCTATCCTGTCTGCCCCACAGCTTGTAGCAGGTACTTTCTGCTTACCTGCTAGCATGTTTGTGTAGGGATTGATGAAATGGAATTGACCCATGCCTGAGGGATGAAGACAATGGATGCTACATTGTGCACAGAGCGCTATGTAAACATTTTAAATCAGGTGGCTGAAAACAAGTCAGTCATCACCCTCCTCAAGGACATAAATGGATGAAGTAGAGGCTGAGAGGATTCAGGGAAGCCACAAATTAAATAATGATGGTTATGAGCTCACGCCCAACAGAATGGCTATTAAAAAATCAAAAAATAACAGATGCTGGTAAGGCTGCAGAGTAAAGGGAAAGCTTATACACTGTTGGTGGGAATGTAAATTAGTTAAGCCAGTGTGGAAAGCAGTTTGGAGATTTCTCTAAGAACTAAAAATAGAACTACCATTCGACCCAGCAATCCCACTACTGGGCATCTACCCAAAGGAAGATGAATCATTCTACCAAAAAGACACCTGCGTGTGGATGTTCACTGCAGCACTACTCAAAATAGCAAAGACATGTCATCAACCTAGGTGCCCATCAATGATGGATTGAATAAAGAAAATGTGGTGGCCAGGTGCGATGGCTCATGCCTGTAATCCCAGCACTTTGGGAGGCTGAGGCGGGTGGATCACCTGAGGCCAGGAGTTTGAGACCAGTCTAGC